GGGCACCAAGAACGAGACGTGGAAGCAACCGGGCTGTGCGGACTACGAATTGCAGAGTGATTATGGCTACATTACGGACAAGAGACGGCAAAGTTGTACGTCGTCGTCCTCCACCTTGCCCCTCACATACCCACACCCATCATCCAACCGCTGCTCCGAGAATCTTTCGACATACTAACATCAACAAAATAGGTGACTGCAAATTCGCCAACGGCACCACTGTAACCGCCGCCGAACAAAGAGACCTCTGGCAACACACCTCGTTTAATCAATACGACGATCTTTTGTTCAATTGCACCTTCGACTTCCCCAACAACACACAGACCTGGACGGAACAAAAGGTCTACAATCAAGATTCCATCACCCATCTCTGCAACACCAGCGTCTCCGTCCCTGTGGGTGGCAAAACGTACAACGCCGACGACCTAGTCACAGACTACGGGTACTGCTACAATGGAATTGGATACCAGTACTACTCGCTCATGGGGAAAAGCCGCTGCCTCCCCGACACTGCCAACCCGACGTACCAATGGGGTTTCTCGACACTCATGGCTGGGTTGTTCATGTTTGTGACGAGTGCCTGGGTGTTGAGTATGTACGTGCTGTGGCAGGACGCACAGTTCAATTCTACGCTTGTCAAGGAGGGATACAGACTTACGCCGTTGCGCGCGGCGTTTGCGATGGCGGTCGCGGCGAGGCGGCGTACGGGGTTGAGTGGGAAGGATCTTATCAGCGCGAAGAACAGGGCGTTGGGCAGACAATTGTATGGCAAGAAAGGGACGAGAGGCACGGTTGTGGATCATGGGCTCTTTTTGCAGGACCTTGAAGATACGGATACAGACGGTGATGGTGGCGGCAAGTCGCCCATGTCGCCAACACCCTTGTTATCAACGCCAACTCCTACTTTCGCGTTGGCGGGCAAGGAGAAAACGTGGATGGCCTCCCCAACGGAACACGAGGATATGGAGATTAGACCGCTGGCTAGGTCGGATACGGATCTTTCTGTCCACGTACTCAGCGACGAGGAGCTGCGCAAGAGATATCTAAGAGGTGTGGAGGAGGCGAGGCTGAGTCGGAAGCCGCTGAGTCGGGAGGCGACGCTTGTCGGGGAGGGCATGTGGAAACAGAATCATGGTGACGATACTCGGGATCGAGATGATGAACCGAGTGCTTCAGACGACGCATATTCGAGAGAGAAAGAAGGCGAGGCTGCGGACACATCGAAAGATACAAGAGAAGTGAAAAGTGGGAAGGATGGAGGTTGGAGAAATAGGCTGAAGAAAGTCAGACGACCTGGCTGAGTGGGAAAAGGTAGAGATGATACGAAGTAATGCATAATATGAACAAAACCTGTCGATTTCAGCGAGCCTGTTTGAACGCGGCAGGGAGATCTCATGGCGGGTTTTAGCGACGTTTTGAGCATGCAATCCGTTTGCTGTAATTGGCCCTGCCATTTTATGGAACGTCTCTTCTTTCGCACACACTCAGAACATAGTCCTCTGCCAGTTGTCTTTTTCGGAGCACTCGGTCTCTGCTCTCATTATTAATTTCATAACTTGGTTTGGTAATAACTCGATAGCCAGAGCGTTAAGGAAAGGAAGAAGCATTGTAGAAAGAAGGCCTTTAATACCCCTCACACCTCGCCGTAAGCACCGCTGTCATACCGCTCTAAGGACGATGTTTCTGGTCGTCTGCTTCTCATGGCAATCTTGCCTCTTCTTTTTGGTATCGTGTGTGGAGCTTCCACTCTTTTGAACAACGGAAAGACATTCTGCGTACGAGCAACGTCTTTGGTACGACAAGTCGGAGCGAGTGACCCATGACGAGCATGATATGTTATTTCGGAAGACATCTCTTCTCATGGCCTTTCGCCATGGTCAGTTGGACGATCTTTCAGAGTTTGGGTTGTAGAAAGGCAGCGAGAGGCGAGACAGAACATGGTACCTCAAGGTAAGGATTTTAGAAGTTGAAGCAAGTCAGACATGGATAGCTCGTCATCGCTTTTTGGTCGTCTGCTCCTCATGACCTAGCGATCTTGCGTTTTTGGTCTTTTGGGGAAAACAGAAGATGCGTAGAAGAAGAGTGAGGGAGAGAAGAAGGAGGGTGCTTTATATGTTCTGGTCTTATGCTCCGTCCAGCGCTACTACGACACAACGCTAACACGCATGTCTTTATTTGAATGTGTGCCCGCGACGCGCACGCAAACATCCAACTATCGTCTGAGCACCTTTCATAGTCTGTCATATATACTGTTTTGATGCTTCAGATGTATGCATAGAATAACTTCCAGACGACAAAACACCAGAACATCGTCTCTTCTTGATACTCTTTTAGCCAGAAGCCCAAAATTCAGGACTTGATCCGTCCGATATGGACTTTCTGGTTCAACCAAACTGAGATCATAAAGAAGTGCGTCGATGCCTTTGGTGATTTATCTCGGAAAGGGTAGGTACAGAGCAGGAAAAAGAAGCAGAAGAGAAGAGCTTTATGCACGCCCTGCCCCCGCCGAGAACGGACATCGCATATTGTCGAAACGTTTTGGAACTCGATCTTCTCATGTTCTTGCTGGGTGGCTGTTTTGGTATTTGGAAATAAGAGTGCTGTTGAAGCACGAAAGCAGAGGAGGGGGTATTCATGTGGGTCGTAAGCCGTTCCAAGGAACTCCGACATGACAAATGAAGAACATGGTTTTTCAAGCTCTCAGCCTCTCATGTAATGAAACCATTCGTCTTTCTGCATTGAGTTTAAATGTAGATGTGTGAGAGAAGAAGACAAGAGCATGGGCATATGAAACGTTGTGTTTTATAGCTCAGCGCGACACGTAGTAGTAAGAGTGAGTCTTTCGATCGTCTGCTTCTCATAAACTGGTCGTCGATCCTTTTTGGTAGGTATCTTGGGTACAGATTGTAGGAAAGCAGAGAAAAGAAGAGCATATGCTGGTGCGGATGACAATTTGTAGCTAGGCTCCATGCAGAGCGAACATTGCTCTAGCTCTTGCGAGTTTTGATCTTTCACTTCTCATCAGTTTGCTTAAAAATGCTTTTGGTCTTTTGCACGCGGAGATGGGTGATAAAGAAGGCGTAGGAGGAATGATAGGATAGCGTTATCCTAATATAGGTCGGGAATAGTCGAAGCAGGGCAAACATTAAGCCGCTCATTTGCCGTTTCGGTCCTCGCAAATTCTCATAGGATTTTGCTAAACATCTCTTAGTTCTTTACATCGAGGCAGAGGTGGATTGAGAGAAGGAAGTGAGGGAGAGAAACGCTGGTCTTATACACGTCTCTAGCATAGCTCGAAGAAGGCAGGACGCACATGTCCCGTTTGAGGTATTGATTCAGGCTTTCCATTTCTCATTCCGCGCAATCATGGCGTATTGAATCTTTTTCCCATGCAACTGTACTTCGGTCATTTGGATAGCTGCAAGTCCAAAGAAGGACAGACACATCAAGTTGAACCAGTGGTGATTATGAACATCGTTGCCCTCTTCCCCATTTTTTTCGGCAAATCCTCCAGGAATATGCCGACGCCAAATTGGTTTTTGGAAAGGACGCGTCAGCCGCAGACATATCTTCATGAGTTGTAGTTTTTGAAGGAAAGAAAGGGTCGCATGACTTAGGATGCAGGAATGTGTCTTTTGAATGATGAGCCTTTCATACTTCTATGGAGTGACAGGTGGGTGGCGACGTCTCCATAGACATTAATGTTGCGGGCGCGGGTTTGAGAAAGATGCGGAGGAGCGGGCATAGTCGTCATCTCACACTGCTTTGGAAAAGAATGAAGTACTCTACGTGCAGGAAGCAGAACCGTACTCGTCGATTGCGATTCAGATATACTTTCATGACCGAACCCGGATGAAACTTCTTGTGTTAGCGACAAACGACATTACACGCACATTTGCGGCTTTCGAAGAACAGGCCAAAGACATGCGACAACTTTATGATGGTTTTGGAAGAGAGGAGGAGACGCAGACATCCGAGCGCTGCCATGTTCTTTTGGAAAACAAGCAAAAGCTTTTGGGATGTAGGAGAGGAGAGCAGTGAGGTATGGAAGGCGTTTTATACACATTTCTTGTGGCCGGGGACAGCGGAGCAAATCATCAATGTAATCAAGCCCCATTTTGGTAACACTCTGCGCAATGTGATAATAGAACTTCTAGTGCATGTATTGATAGCCATGACCTTTCGCTGTTCCGGAGAAAGAGGGAGTATTTGCAACTGTAGATCTGGAGTGCCCATAGCAACTGATGTAGGCAATTTTAGTCTTCTTTCTTCCAGCCATGGGATGTTTGTGTATGTATTTTGAGAAAAGAAGGAGACGTCCAGGACATGTAAAGGTCCCACATAGATTTTCAATTTCGGTCCAAAATGTTGATATAGTAGAGAAAGACCCAAGAAGAGCGGTATACATACCTAGCCAGCGCTCGAAAATCATCATACGAGCGCTTGTCGTCTTTGTTGGAACATGTGAGCTTGCTGCAGGCCCTTTTATTCCAAAACCGTTGTAGACAACCCATCATCTTGACGGCCACCGAGCTTCGAAGACAGTGGCGGCTCATGAGGATATCATCGCGCTTCTTTGAGTGAACACCTTGATGAGTACTTTTTCAAAGACGCCAAAGGCAGAACCATGAGTTCAAACTCATGACATTCGGAGTATACCTCTGCACACAATTGAGGGCAGCGGACCTTTTCGGGTGATAGATCGATCATGCATCACGCCTCTCGAGTATTGGAACCGAAAAGCGCAGGACAGACAGCCATAAGAATGGTACCAATGACTTTTGATATTTCAGGAGTAGGATCGTGTGATCAGAGAAAGAAAGGAGCAGGAGGAAAGAAGGCTTTTATACCCACCATGTCTCGTTATATGAGAGCACGGACCATCCACAAGGAGAGCTCGTCTCAAGCCAAAAGTCCAGAAGCCCCAGTCTCTACCTCAACCCGGGCTGCGTTTCCGTGACATGGACTACAGGTTCGACAGCTACATCTCCTCGTGCTCATCATCTTCTTGTTGGCATCGCCGCTCTGATCGCGTCTTTCAGCCACTCCGGCAACTCCTCCGCGTCCGACTTGTCCCCGCTTGTTATATTCTCAAACACCCTCCCCAACCACATGCCACGCTTCAACCTCTTCTCTTGCTCTTTCTCCTCCTCACCATCCAAACCAACACTTCCCTTCTCCACAATATCCTCCAGCCACGCCCTAAACCCCGGATAAACATACATAGCCGCCACCCCTCCACTAGCCCACGTAACACACGCCCATTCCATCTCCTCCCACTCCTCTTCGCTACCAGCAAAATCTCTTATCGCAACTCTGACACTATCCTTTTCGCGCTCACCCAGTGTCTCATCGTCCAGCATCTTCGTGACAGCCTGCTTTATTGGCGTAATCGTAGAAGGCGGGAGAAGCCACGTATTATCAATCTCCTGTGTACCAATCTCCAATGCACGGCCGATGAGGAAATGCTCTGTCACTTCGTCACAAGCATAGGCCTTCTTAGTTGGAGGAGGTGCAAAAGGCCATTTATCCCATCGTGTGGGTAGGTCGAGCGTGAGGTCGGTGAAGTAGTCTTCTTCTGCGGAGTCGAGCCAGCGTAGTTTGTCTACGGGATGGAGAGGTGTTTGGAGGTCGCCTAGTGGGTGACCCCATGGAGAACCGAAACCGTTGCTAATGCGGAGGAAGGTTTTGTAGTCGGCTGGCAAGGTGGTGTTGAGCCGTGTTTCGGCTTCTTCAATCTGCGAGTCGGTGGCTGGAGAGTGAAAGAGCGAGGTTTCGGGGGGCTCAGAATTGACTTCTTTGGCTTCGGCATTGTATTTTGTATTGTATCCCGCTGCTTTCAAGAATTCTTGAATGGAGATGTTTGCTCCCGGTCTAGTTCGACCGTTTGTGAGTCGCTCGGTCAAAGCGTTCTCAGAGTCTTTTGCGAAGGTTGCGAGCGCTGCTTCATCGATGTTGAGTTGTTGTCTCAGCGCTCCACTTTTGTACAGCTTCCATGCCTGCCTGGACTCCATCGCTGGTTGAGTCTCGTACGACCGTTCTCCAAGACTGTGCGCTAGCCAATGCAGTATCTTATGGGATGTCCGGGCGCCCGACTTACGCTGTATTTCGCGCATGCCGTGCTGTTCATAGTGTGCCTCAACCGTTAAGACCAAGTCCAGCATGCTCACCAGCCCGCTTCTCGCATCTCGGATGTTAGGTGCCGGACGTGCAGTCTCAAAGCTATGGATGACATCTATCGCACCATCAAGCAGCTGAGAAGTGGTGGCTGAGCGATCGAGCTCGTGGGCATGGAATGCTTCTGCAAGACCTGGCCCTGGCATCTCAGTTGGGTAGTACCATTTCGATGCCAACTCTTTCGCGATAACTTGCAGCTCTTCTTCTACATCGTCTGATGTTATTGTTTCGTCGGTCCTCCTTCGAGCATCGTCGCTGCTGATCTTGGCTCGTCTACCCCTCACAGCCTGGCGCACCTTATCTTCTTCTCCATCAGGCCATGGCACACCGTCTTCCTTCGCACGCAGATCCCAGAGGAACCAAAGGGGCCGAAGGCTTCCGAGTCGATCGTGGTAGAAATCATAGTTGTTGAGTCTGCCTATCAGGCGCGCTGCTACATCTGTGTAGCCTAGGAGAGCCAGCTCTGGAATGAAGCGCGACGTGTACTCATAGAGACTACTATTGTCGCAACGCGATAGAAACGTCTTGAGAAAAGGGTTGGATGAAGAAGACATGATAGTGTGGCGAGAATGGTTCCCGACGCGTCCAGGTAGTCGCGCCGCGTGCGGAGGCGGGACTGACGTCATGTGGAGGATTAGGCAACCAGCAACATCACGATGAAGGAGAACACATGGAAAGATCGGGCTTAGATGCAGACAGAGTTCAATTGTATAGTATATATTACCAATCAAAGTCCGACACGACTTGATCGTATGCGCGACGATACCTTTCATCGAAAGCAAAACAACGGACCCAGGCTTAGACCGAGACCACGGCCTCAAGCTCAATCCGATATTCACCCCCTTTACAGCCCTTCTTCGAAATCACGATGACATCCACAAAGACCGAGGATAGAACCGATCGCGGTCGAGGATGGCGAAGTCGAAAGCAAGCTGTTGTCGCGGTAGGTGACGCCAGTGTCTCAAAGAGACTGACTAAGTACCTAAGTAAGGGTTAGACAGTAGAAATGACAGTAGAAACGACTTGGGGTGCGAAGAATAGTAAGTGTGAACAGTATATATGGCGATGTAGATAGCTGGCGACAGAAGAGACAAGAAAGGTTGACGGCGGAAATGAGTTGAGACACAAGGGAAGAAACGGTTGACGGTGGAAAGGACTAGAAAAGCAAAAGAAACGCGGGAGAAACCTTACCATGGTAGCTTCAAGTGCCGTGTGAAGGTAGTGGTGGAGGTGATGGTCGTTGTGGTGGGATCTATCTGCGAACGGGTGGGGAGTAGAAGCGTTGGATTGCGGAGGTGGAGCGATATTGATATACGTGCGCTCGGCCTCCGGATCAACTCCCGGCAGCGAGATAAGCGAGGCAGAAGAATAGGCGGCAGTCCTATTGTTGGGTCTGGGCTGGAGTGAGAGTGAAGACGGAGGCGCGAGCGCTGAAGAGCTGCGCACGGGCCAGAAAGCCGCCATTGGGGAGAGAGGAGCCCGAACTGGTGCCGGTATTGGATGAGAGGGCCAGACGTCCGACTTGTCAGTAAGTAAACGACTTGGTCCAAGCTGACAATAAGCCCCGTCACTTGGTGCATGGAGACAGCCTTGTAGTTACCAATTGTGATTACATATCCACGGGTATCATTAATTACAACCGCTCAACAAAACAAATGAAAGAACTCTTCACATCGACCTCTCTTGTATCCTCGCCCCTTGCTTCAAGGGCGTCTCATCCCCAAACACACTCGGCGCGGGCGCGTCATTGCTGCTCCTCGAGCTGCCCTCTATGAAATCTTTCCTGTCAACATAATCTTTCCTGTCCTCATGCGTGATGTGTAGATCGGTCGTACACTGGATACCACCCAGCTCCAAACTCTCATCGCTATCAATCTTGCTCAGTCCCGCGTTGCGCATGTTCGTCGTGTTGCGTTTCGATCGGTTGGTCAGCTGAACCGAGTGCGGTTGGTGCGAGCGCGCGTTGGAGCGGGAGTGCGAGTCGGGACCGGAGGAGCTGTGGAATTCTTCGGGGTTCATGTCGTTTTGTGGCTTGCCTTGCGCGAGGCGGACGACGAGGGAGGCCATGGACATTTCGATGTTGAGCTTGACCATGTAGACGACGGGGTGGAATTGGACGTATACGACTTGGTTCTGGAGGAACATAAGACCGATGAGGAGGGCGTCCATGGCGATGGAGACAACCATTAGCTTGCCGTTGAAGCCTACCAGCGGCGCGTATTTGGTCAGGCCGTGTTGTTCGACGAGACGGATCTTGACAGTTCGTAGGAAGTACCAGTTCAGGCCTGCATCCACGATCAAGATGAGCACCTTGCTGACCTTGTCCCAGACGTTGTTGATCTTCACAAAGGTTTCGCTGATTGGCGGGACGGTGTGCGATGGGATCCAGATACAGAAGACGGCGATGTTGATGCTGGTGATGAGGACTACTGTTCCCCATTTGAGGTTGCGGATGGTACTTCGGTGTTCTGCGATGAGGGCAATGCGGTTGATGATGATTTGCATGAGCAGTTGGATCTCCCACACCCAGAAGAATAGGATGAAGAACAGGACCGGAACACTGTGGTCTTTGTCAGCTTCGACTCGTTTTCGTGTACTGTAGTGCCCGGGAACTCACGTCGGCCCAAGAACATCGTTTAAAAACAGCCAACCAATGATACCAATGATGAAATTGACCAGAATTTCACCCCATATCATGTAGATGTAGGCTGATCGGAGGGGGCTGTGATTTCGCCGTGTCTGCTTGACAGCCTCCCATACTGTCAAGAACCCGAACCCAATCGTGAAGCCGGCAGCCAGAGCAGCAAGCTGGAAGTCCTGGACGGTAGCCGACATTGTGTGGTGTAAGTAACGCCGAGGTTGGGGAAGGAGAAGTCGGTCAGAATGATCCTAGAGTAGAAGGGCTCAGGGTCTCCAAAACACCCATATATCCCACTGATCCCGGAAAGGAGGCACGCCCGCTCCAGAAATCACGTTGCAAACTACCGATAAGTTCATCATGGGTAACTGACTAGCAATAGGATGGCATTAGTGGACGGGACGGCATGCACCGTGGAGCTGTCAACTTAGCAAGCGGCTTGGGTTGTCCTGCCATGCTCTAGCTGCCAATCACCACGTGTAGATGCTACCCGCTAGTAATTGCAAGTGTTCCGAAGGACCCTCGCTTGCGTTTGCGAGTAGACGTGCATTACGGAGTGGACCGGCTTCCTAGCTTGGTATCAACCAGCGGGACACTGCGCACTCTGGGCTCCGACGTTCAGAGCGCCACATGTAAGTTAGATCTGTCTCCTACCCGAAAGTAAGTGTCATCTTAAACCTTAATTACACGGCTGACGTGTGTCGTGGAACGTAACAAGAATATCGGGTTTTGTTAGTGTTGAAGACGATTACTATTCTCATCGGGTAGTGAACGGTCGCCGACTTCATGACATGTAAGTGATGATAAACATAGATGTCGCGATAATACCTCCGAGGGCTGGGATACTCAAGATTTTCCCAAGGTTGCCTTCCTGCGTGGGGCCGCGGATCTTCAACGCTCATGGAACTCGTCAACGCGAATGCATGAATGCGCGACATCCGACTCCACACCAAGACGCAGAATCTGCACCGCCACTTCGTCAGTCGACCTCTCAGACGGATGGACAGCGCCCCTGCACTCCCACTTCCCTGCAATCACTGCAGAAAGCTGGGCGCTGCGGCTCAAGGTCTGCATTTGATATTCACCGGTGGTTGAGACGGAGTTGGTACACGTACAATGCTGATACCCGCATGAGACCACATCGATACATGGGGTCGACTCTGCTGGTGTATTCGGGGTACGATCGTAGCTTCCGTCGCTTCCCCTGATTACATGTGTGAGTATGACCGAGGAAGACCCGCAATTATTCAAGACGATGGTTGCAATTATTCCCGTCCAAGGTGATGCTGAGGTGTTGGTGGCCGACATTGACCGAATGGCAATGTGCAGAGTCATGGAACATCGTATGAGGATTCTGGCTCAGCTGACCATAATCTGCAACCCAACTCTTGTGAAAATACATCCACGTTCTGCAGGTCGCAAAAGAAACCCTATGTGGCGTTGTCTCTTGAGATCCAGTCTTCTGGAATTCTTCCTTTCCAATCGGTGCTTCTCCGGTTTCCGGCAATCTGGCCAAACGCGTCCCTGCCACACGGCTCGCGGTCCGTGCGCAAAGTCTGTCGCTACCCGCAGAGAGCGGGCTTCGAGAGGGTCGGACCAGATCTGGAGGATGAGCGGCATCTTAGATGGACCGAGGATGCGCTCGTATTGCGCAATTGATCTCATCGCGTCCACCTGTACTTGGGGTCCGTCGGAAGATGTGTCGAGGCCAAGGATCGCCACCAAGTCTGTTGATGGAGACAGGCATCAGCTAGTATTGGCGAAGTCGGCGAGCTCAAGCTGGAGCCTCGAGCCTGGCGTGGCGGATCAGCGGGCAGTCGAACTAGGCACGGGACAGTGGTGTGTAGCCTGAGAACGGCAGATTGCATGTAGAGCGAAAGAGGAAGTACATACAGTATAAGGTTTATTTGACACTCAGATGCCGTGTTCGTTCTGCGCCTGTCACACCTAGTTCACGCCGTCGTCTATCGCTTCCTCGCTCCCGTTGCCGTTCACAGCACACTGGTAAACTTGCGATCAGTCCTGCGCATCGATGCCGAACTCTTCTTGAACTTCGACTATCCGTACGCCCCGCTGATCCGCAATAAGGCCCATCAACCCCTGACCCACATCTTTCAGCTCGTTGTATTCGTGTAGTAATTTGATGTGCTCTTTCACGATTTTGTTTGCGGCTGCCATGACATCGGTCTCAGTAGGTTCATCGCTAGCATCGCCTGATTCGGCATCTGAAAGAGCGTTCTCTTCCATCAGCACTTGGATCGCTGGAAGGGCACTGAGAGAGGCCAAGAGTGCAGCTTTTTGGGCTCTCAGATTGTCAAGAGTGACTTCCTGTGGTGTTCTCGATGGAGGCATTGGGATGGGCGATGACAAGCGTTGGGCGTCAGCGTGTGGTTGGGCATGGGTAGACAGTTTAGCAATTGGTGAACTAGCACCAAAAATTGAGCCTGCGCTCTCTTTCGGCAATGCCACTTCTTCTGCGGATAGTTGCTGGTCCGCGGATGTGCTTCGGGAAGGTTGTTCCTGGCCGATCTCAGAGCTAGATCCGTTTTCGATCATGGCAGCTTCGCTAGTGTTGATGTGCATTCGCGCATTAGGAGGCGTATTTTCAGTGTCTTGAGCCCTATGGAGCGTAGAGCTGGTGTAGTCGTCCGGCATGGTCGCAGCAGGACCTGCGTCACCTGACGAGCCTATTGCAATCCTTGTCGTATTCGACTGCATGCTGGCAGCTGTTGAGGTCGGCCGAGATCGGTCCTATCGTATGTGAGCGCGTGAACTTACAAAGCATTGATCTAGGACAGACTACGTTGTCGCTCATATGTCCATCTACCGGATGATGCTTTACAGCTCGACCCGAATCATCTTTCGACTCACGAGACAGACTGGCGAGTGTGACAGTACTTTGCGATTGACATGTTGACCCGTTTGGGAACTCAGAATCGACGCTGAACTCTGATGGAGCGAGGGCAGCAGAACCTGGTACCTTCGACGTCGCATCCGCCATCGTGGATTGAATAGCCTCAGCTACTTCCTGTTCGGCAGAAGACAAATTGGCATGGCTTACAGGTGGCTGCTGTTCGTCACCGCGGGCTGAGGGGTCAGATTCGACATCCTTGGCAACTGGATCCCCGTTTTCAGTTGGAACGACCATCACTTGAGCCCCATTTGACATGTCTCTGGTCGTCGATACTGGCTTTTGTGGATGTATTTGTGTGTGGAGTCCCAGGCCGTGGCTGCCACCTTCGACAGTCGCTCCTTCCTCGTTTTGCGCTGCAGTGGTCTCATTGGGTATCATGTTAGTCTGATCAATTCTCGACGCGTCGACATCAACTGGAGAATTGGTGGAATCGGCGCCCAAGACTTCAGTTGTGCTGGCATCGCGTTCGGCGAATGCTTGTTGGAGGCCATCTGCCTCGCGCGACGCGTCTTGTCGCTCTTGGTACGGAACATTGGACACTGCGCAATGCTTGTCGCCCGCTTCATCCGGAACAACACCAGGTGACGACGTCATCGGTTCATCATCCGAGTCCGCGATTTCGGTGACGCCCTTCTCGAAAGTCATGTCGTGAATGGCGAGGCTGAAGCTGCAGGCCGACGATGGTGTCGGAGATGATGGTGTTGATCGCCCGGTCGGAGTGTGGCGGAAGCCAATGACGGTGGCGCCTTTTGTTCACGTAAGCACGAGATTGCGACAACGCCTGCACGGGAAACAACGAACACACTCGCCTCCCCATTCGGTCCCACCTTAGCACGCGTCTGATGCTATTGTGAAACTCTCAACGCTGCAGATTCCACGATAATCACCTGCTCGTGGCGCCAGCTGCAGCGACCCGAATCTTATTCAGAAATACCGACGACGAAATGGGCGTCCCTACAAGAGCGGCCCTTGCGGCGCTGCTTTACACCGCAGCAGTCACAGCTCACGACCACGATATGGATGCGATCCCAGATGGTGATGCCATATCACCTGACCCAATAGTGGGTTGACACTTCGACCGCCCTGGTTGAGGCAGCAAGACTGATGGTCGATCTAGGACTCAATACTATGGACGCACATCTTGATCCAAACGGTGGCATGGGGCATCATCTTCCCCACTGGTATGGTATTAGGAGTAAGTTACCTCAAATCGAGAACCAAGAGTATGGGCTGACAGCAGGGTTAGATAATACGATCGAAATGGCACGTCCCGGTACAATCCCTCGGAACCGTCCTCGCAATCATCGGATACTTCCTCGGCCATAGACACAAGGGCAGGCAGTTCACCGACAACATCCACAGCCAGTTTGTCCCTGTCATCATGCTCATGCTGGTGTCCCAAGTCGCCATGGGCATCTACCTGAAGCTACACCTGGAGAAGGGCATCAATGGGAAGATACGGCGCGTGGTAGTGAAGGCGCACGGTGTTGTTGGAAAGGCTATGCCAGTGGTCACCTGGGTGCAGTTCCTCTTTGGAGGAATCACTGCACTCGGCTTCTGCAGAGCGGACCACACCGGACAATGTCTGGCGCACTTCATTATGGGCAGCGCCTTCATCGCATACGGCATTATTCTCCTGATTCTACTTCTGGTAGGACAGATGTGGCTGCGGAGGACCGGAAGGAGCCAGGAGTTCTTCGATTCGCTCGTAATTGCCGCCTGGGGTTGCGTCAATACCTTTACCGAACACCGTTGGGGAGGACCATGGGTACACAATGACCTTCAGCACACATCTATGGGCATCGTATGGTGGGCTGCGGGCTTGGTCGGTGTCTGGCTCAGCCGCAAGCGCAATGGACAACCGAAGCGCAACCTTATCCCCGGTATCATCATCTTGATGACCGGTTGGGCCATGTCTGCGCACCCGCAACATCTGCCAATCTCGACTATGATCCACACGATCTTCGGCTACACCCTCATGGCCGCAGGTGCCGCGCGCATCATCGAGATCTCATTCGTGCTCAAGGACCGCGCTTCTGTCGCAACCGATGGCTCGGACCCGAACAGCTTCCAGTACCTGACGCCGTTCCTGCTCATGGCTGGCGGATTCATGTTCATGGGTGCCACCGAAGAGCAAATGAAGCTGCTATCCGACGCGAACGTCACGCACGTATCTTACGTGTTGATCCTCTATAGCATCGCTTTCTTGCTGTTCCTTTGTAAGCCTTCGCAAGATCTCCGCGTACTATCTCAAGCTAATTTGTTTCTAGTCGTCAACATGCTCATCCACCTCTACGCCGTATACACTTGGGAACAAGACGACAAAGCCGATGCCGAAGCGCCCCTCACGAACGGTCACGCGAACGGACATATCAACGGATACACAAGGGTCGATCGTAGAGTGAGAGACGCCGAGGAGTTCGAACTGGAAGGTCTTGACTCAGACGACGACGATGAGGATTCACCGCGTCTGAATAAGGAGCATAGGTCTTTGGCTGCGCAGCATTAGGCCTCTTTTCTTTCTCGTTGACATGGACGCACAGGGCACACAGGAATTCATATGCAATTTATTTTGATTGGCCGATCAGTCCATGCAGTACCTCGCCGCGGGATATACCAAATGATAGGGTGGCTGCATTCGTGTCCTCCACCGATGAGTGTGAGATTGTTCTAAGTGGTTGCCCACTGCCAGCCTGGCATGCACGCGCTGCGCCTCGGCCTCAGCCTCCCCTCATGCCCCGCTCTTCTCGTGTGCTTTCATTTCTCTCTCCTTGCATCCACGTTCCGCGCATCGAGGTCTGCGATGGCAGACCCATTTTCCATCACCGGCAGCGCTGTCGGTGTCGTTTCCCTCGCCATACAAGTCTGCAAAGGCCTGGAATGGTACCTCAGCGGCGTCAAAGAAGCGAAGGACAAGGCTGAACAAATCGCCGCGGAAACGGAGGAACTCGCAAACCTACTTGAACGACTTGAATCCGTCATTGGAAAAGTGGACCCATCCCAGTCGGTGTCAGCAACACGCACCGGCATCGTGTCGTGTGCGAATGCTATTGCGACCATCCGGAAAAAGCTCAAACCAGACGACCACGCAGCGAACAGCGGGATCAAGTCAAGCTTAAAGAGGTTGACCAAGCGGCTGGCTTTTCCGTTCAAGGAGGCGGACATCACTTACTGGAAAGACGTTCTCAACACCATACAGCAAAGTCTTCAGACTGCGCTACTCGCCCTTGTCATCGACCAACAGCGGTTGGCTTCTGAAGATGTTCAGCTACTATTTACACAGCTGTCCATGAACCAAAGTGCGCAGCATTGCGCTAGCCTACAACTGCAGCGCGATGGCTTTGATAGCACAAGTTTCCAGCTCGCTGGACATTCACACATGCTCGAATCGGGTTTCTCGGCCACCTCTCACAGTCTACAAAGTCTTCATGCCGATTTTCGGAACTTCCAAGAACAATTTTTGGAAGCTGTATCAGCGAAAAGCACGACACTTGACGACGATCTGGTGAGCCTTAGGGGCGTTCAGCGAAAAACGCGAAAGTTACAACGACGCTCCCACGCAATTCCGTGTACATGCCGACCACAGACCTCTGCACTTGGATATATATCAAGACTTTTAACTCTCGCATACACTCAAAGGTTTGATCATGACCGTCGGTGTCTTCGTTACTCGCTACCGGACATATCGACCGATCTGCAGTTCAAGGCTACCCTTTGCAGCCTGGTTCTAAAGAGGAGAATTTCGCTTTCATTTACCAGGTTCAACAACGCTGGATTCACGCAGAGTCTGCAGTGTCATCGAATCGTTGATCGAGAATCCCCTGCTTTCGTGTTTGTCGACACACTTGTTTGGAATAGTATAGACACGCCAATGAAGACTTTCGTGGGCGAGGTCGCGAAATTGTCTAGGATGTTCCAGCTCAGACAGGCGTCACCACGCGATCGACTAGCAAATGGAAGGACCCTTCTACATGTATGTTTGCAGCCCTCATCGATGCGCAATGGAAGCTGACCACCAGCATAGGAAGTTTCCAACTGTATTAGCTTTCTGAACCGCAACAATAGCTTTGCCAACGCCTATGAGAACCTTGCTTATCTGTTCAGAATTCTCCTTCCACTGATGCCAAGTGAGGCTTTTGAGACAGATGACTATGGAGCGTAAGTATTCATTGACCCTTGTTCTATTTGAGATTAATCAACATTTTGTGGTGCTATCGTACCATCTCGAACTGTGACAACGCTAAGCGTGGACAGTACATGTATCGACCTACTCATGAGTCACGATCCCACTGTCCAGGACAGGGATATCCACATAGGTCTCTTGAAATCACTATTCGAACAAGATCTGCAGATAACACGGCATACCTATAAACTGGCAGCATTTAGAACCAATAATGGGTTAGCAGTCTTGGCCGAGATTCGCTACGAAAGTTTCACCAGCCCGTTACTAGATGACAGCGAGTTACTAGAGGCGATTTTCGCGAAATCGGACCATCGACTCCAGGACCTCTTACACCAACCTGCGTACTTACACGCTCTAGATGCCGACACGCTCGCCGACGCCCTGATCACGTCTACCATAACTGGTTGGACGGATGGTTGCAGAGCCCTGCTCAATACCAACTTGGTTGATCGTCTGGAATACCCTAACTCTGTCGTGCGGTACCCCGGTCATACTTTACTCGTGCTCTCAGCCGCTACAAATCGACTGGACATGTTGCAATTCTGGTTGTCACAGAGGGAGACGTGCGATGGACCACTGCTCAGTTTAGTTGGCCACTTTGAGGACGCGCTATCTGCCGGTGACCACCTGCCATTTTCCGCTCAGTTGGCTATATCTGTAATCCCCAACGCGGACGTTATCCAGCTCGTATTGGATCATCTCATCAAGCAAAGACAGGGGATCAAGCTACTAATGGAAAAGCACAAACTTCAATATTGTTGTGAACGCGCTCGAACAAGCTTACCAGATGCACGTCTGGGATGCATGCTCAATGCATTGGTGAGCAAAGGGGTTGACGTACCTCAAAGTTATTGGCCTAAACGAAAAAGCCTTTATCACATGCCACAAATGTGGAGATTTGACAGAATCAAGGTACTCGAAGTGTTTGAGCTAGCAGGCATTTGTGATATCAGTCAGGAGGATTTCAAGTGCAATAAGGACATAGCCTGCTCGCCATTGGTGTATCTGGCAGTGCAAGAGATGCATCTTGTAAAATCAGGGTCTTTAAGTGAGCGTAATATGACAGTCCGATGGTTTCTCTCAAGAGGTGCGAACCTGAGAGACACATGGCCAGGAACGAACACCACCGCTATACATTGTTTGGCTTGGCAATCTGCTGAATGTCTGAGGACTAAAGTCGATAGCTCATCTTACGATGGTTCTTCTATCATGGAGGAATTCTGGACGTACGAAGATTATGAGTTTCTTGTAAAGGAGGAGATCCTTGACCAATGCGAGTGCGGATGTAGCAGATTCGGGTGCGACTTTCTCTCATGCTTTTGGAAGGAGATATTCGCGGCAGGTTGGTATTGTCCGCCGTTTCCTCTCCTCTGCGATCGATTCAAGAACACAATTTCAGCGAGAGAATTGGGAAACGTCAGGATGTATGCACCTGACGTTACCGAGAAACGACATGACCTCTTCACGAGGGCATTTCTCGATCTGACTCTGTGGGTTGAGAAAGCGGCAAACACACTCGGCCTCCCTCGACTCATCCATGAATACATTCGCCTGTTCGTGTTCTCATACTTGGAAATAAGACACACATGCTGCGACATCGAACGCATCTGTCACTGGGACGGTCCTGACTACACAAAGCAACCATACCCTCGGTATTCTTCAAAGGAACTTCGGCGCATAACCAACGAGGACGCACATCTGCGTGCACGTCTCGAGCAGCTAGTTCCCGAGCTTATCACGCGACACGACTCTTTCGGAGGAAAGCTCCAAGACTTTGTCATCGACGTTCTCATTCCGACAATGCGCAAAACTATGAAGGAGTTGAAAGAGGAGGATAAGGCACTCTACGCGGCGGGGCGAAGAGAATTGGGTGTTGTAATGAACGAGGACGAAGACAAGACTGAGGAGGAGGGTAGTGAAGTGGAAGAGGAAGAAATGGATGCCGAAGAAGAGTCGGACGACGAGTACTAAGATGATCTCACATATTGTTTCTTTCTGAAACTTTCAGCGTGCGCGGGCACCTGTATATGATCAGTAGAGATTACACTGGGTTTCAATCGCTTCAGCTATCACATAGGCATTACCAAGAGCAACGCAGCACCGAACAAAGTCTTTCGCGTATATTATTAGATATTAAAACAGTATCGGAGCCACTGCCAGCTCCTCCTCGGCGCCACAGATCGTTCGTCGGGGTATAATGCACCAGAAGTTCCACTTTTATCGCTCGCTCGAAATCCATTTTTGTTTGTCGTCATATCGTCGTTTGTATCCTCCTCTTCCTCTTACTCAGTCTTTGTCCGTATCTTCTCCTCCCCTCGTTCTACTCATCCCCATCTACAAAGCCTTTGACCCAGTAGTGTTCGCCGCAGTCGCAGTACCGCATCCGTAGCAAGCCATGTACGCAGCGTTGACGCTCTTGTGGTGCTCAACAGCATGTCTCTTGACGCCCTCCCACATCTTCTTGATGCTGAGGTTGAGCTTGTGTTGAGTCTTCTCTTCTTGGTTGACGAAGTGGTGGGCGTCGTGTGCTGACTCGTGGGATTGGCGGCGGGACTGCGAGAAGGGTGTTGTGGGGATGGAAGAAGATGGGGTTGAGGCGGAGGATAGCGAGAGAACGCGCGGGTGGCAGTCGAAGTTGTTCATTTTGGCGGTTGGTGGATTTGTTTGTTGGTTTCAAAACACCGAAGATGTGTAGAGAATTTGGTGGTCTTGAGGTTGAAGATTGAAGTGTAGTAGTAGACTTGATGATAACTTGATGCTGATGCTCCTCCACCCAACCCACCACCCCACCCCTTATATACCCCATGGCACCACGAAGAAATTTTCCACCCTTTCCCACCACCCGCCAAACGATCGTGAGATCTTGGAAGCACACACTCCACGTGCACCGTGACTGGTTTTTCGCAAAGGTCGCACATGTGGGTCTAGCAAGGTAGCATCGCCTCGCGCTGGTTACCACCGAGTGTCTAGAAGCCACAGGACGCACACCGGAAGACGTCATCATAATACCCTTCACATGTGCCCTGACTAAACCTGTTCAGACCAGAATCACCCCAAGAATAGCTAATGCACATGGCATGATCTCCGTTAACCGCTTAGCTCCCGCGAGGCTCTCAGGAGAATGTGGTGAGAGGCGTTGTCGGTTGGCGTCGGCTCAGCCTCAACAGACTTTTTATACCGCAGGGTCCCACTGCGACAACCATCACGTTCTTGTCTTTGACACACGAGTTACCTCTAAAGGCTATTTCGTGTGTCATAGTCGCTATTTGCGCAAAATTGCATGTTTCGTCGTGCCTGGAAGAAAGAGAGGGATTGGTCGTTAGTTCAGCCGCGCCCTATCCTGGTAGGGCGTGCGGCTCAACGAAGCTTGGTTGCGTGAGCTGGAATGTTCGCGATGGCGCACGTGGATTCGTGATTTATGGCGAGACTGTTGTTGATGCGCTGAGCATGTGAATGCACAGACTCGAAGTACTTTTGCGGAGTAGTGATGCGGAGGGCGGGTTGCGAGTGTCGCGGGCGCTAGCAAGACATGACGTTTGCCGTTTCCGTCGGATAGCCTTTCCGTTGGAAATATCGAGTATCGCCTTACCGATTCTTTCATATCTTGCAAAACTAGATAAAAAGCATGCCATCAATTTGAAGTTGAGGTAATTGCGCGGTAGCGGTGCGACCTTTGGCGGCATGCTGGCCTGATCGTTCATTGGCTTCAAACGAATTTTGGGAGTAGTAGTTTCTATTCCAAATCACTACGACTATGACCTAGCCGTATTCCTCAACGTCTTCTGTATACAAGCACAAAGCTCCGGTATCCTGAATGGTTTGCTTATCACATCGTCCATTCCCGCCTTCAACGCCACTTCTACCTGCTCGCTCCTCACATTAGCCGTCACCGCGATGACCGGCACGTGCGCTCTAACAACGCCTTCTTTCTGAAGCTCTCTGATGTTCCTAACGCACGTCAACCCATCCATGACGGGCATCTCCCAGTCCATGAGGATGAGTGCGAGTGGCTTTCCAGAGCCATCGGAGATGCAGTACTTTGTTGTGCGCAGATAGTCAAGAGCTTCTCCACCATGATTCGCGACTGCGACCTGCATACCCGTGTTCCGTAGCTGCTTGGCCAGGACGCGCTGGTTTACGAGGTTGTCTTCGACGATGAGGACGTGCAGGTCTTTGTTGGGTATGTCGTTCGCAGGAGCGGAGGCTTGGAGTGGTTCGTCCGATTCGTTGCGCGATCGACTTGAAAGCAGCGTCTTTTGCGCACGTATGCTTAAGCTAACGGCCGCATCGCTTTCCGACCGGTTGAAGTTGGGGCGAATAGTGCTTCTACGGCTCTTCACGTAGAAGGAAAATGTGCTTCCGATGCCGGCTTTAGATGCGAAGCCGATAGCGCCGCCGTGCATCTCAGTAAGCTTTCGTGAGATGAAGAGGCCCAGACCGGAACCACCTGAAGTACGTCAGCAAGTCGCCCAATTATCTTCGAGGTTCATAATCACCATAGTCGATATGTGTGCGCGGAGACGCTTGCGAAAAGCGTGCGAAAAGGAGCTGATGTTCTTCGTCGCTCAAGCCACGACCCGTGTCCTGCACGGAGAAGATGATGTAGACCTTTTTGCGTTAGTGGAAGAACTGAGACATCGCTTTCAACAGCAGCTTACTATCTCGCCCTTCTCCCAATCTGCTTGTAGAGTCGCTGCTTCTGATGTTTCCGAACTACGGGAGAATGGCACACTGAAACTGTGGGTCGGCTGCTTCAGGGAGACGCCCAGACTGACCCTGATCTCGCGTATCTCTTCTAGTCGGGTGAATTTGATTGCGTTGGTGATGAGGTTCTTACTTGTCAGCCGAAGCACCTCAATATGTGTCACGCACTTACGATAAGTATCTGTAAGACCCTTGTAGGGTCTAGCGAAACGAGATCAACCGCGATCTTTTTGCATGACTCTTCGAGCTGGAATCGCAAATCCACACCAGCTGACTTGGCTTCACCTTCGAACATCTTCACCGCGTCTCTCGCAATTGAGTCGAATTTGACATCGACTGGGGTCATTACAAATAAACCTGAGTCCAGCTTAGACATGGTAAGCACGTCGTCCACAATAGTCTTCATGTGCTTCGAGCACTGGACGATGGTTTCGGCAGCGTCGACGGTAGTCTCTAATATAGTCTGATAGACCTTCTGATAATCTGTCGACTTGCTGAAGTTCTTGTGAGCCGAGATGATACTATCTGCACACTGGACGATCGCGGACAGAGGATTTCGCATCTCGTGTGATGTCGTGTCGATAAAGTTTTCCAGGCTGCGCTTAGATTCTCGGGCCCTGGTCGCCTGGGTAGCCTGGAGTTTCTCACCCCATTTCTGCTGGCTGTTCAAAGCCTTTAGTCAAGCGTAGCAAGATGAAGGAATGACGTACCTGATGTCGGTACAACAACCGATGATCTCTACTACTTCTCCATTTTCATCCAGCTCAGGGAAGATGGATGTGATGACCCACATTGGCTCCTGTTCGGGGAATGTATCATCCATATGCTGGGTAGGCGCATTCCACCTCTTCTTGAGACGCAACTCAAATGATCTGATTATAGTAAGCTTTGTCGTGCGTCATGACGTACCTGTCACTTACTGATGCTGTTTGGTCTCGACAAGTTCCTCAAACTTTGCTTGTCCCATTTCAACGAAGTCATCGTCGATGAGCTTACTCCACGCGTCAGCGAGATCGATTGCAGGATCCACTGGACCAAGCATCTCAAACCAAGCTTCGTTCCTATACGAATAGACCCCGTCCATTCCTATGAGAAAGATGCCAATATCGGCACGCTCTGCGAAGCGTTTAAACTTGGAGAAATTGCGCTCAGACTCCGCTTGGGACAGAGTCAACTGTTCCTTTAGCTGCGATTTCATTGCTTCCGCGTTTGCGATAGTCCGTTCTCGACGCCCAATGTCCTCTTCATGGAGTAAAATTGATGTCAAGCAGGTAGAAAGCAGGCGACTGGCGACCATTATGAATTGGAGATAATCTTCGTCAAATGGCCGACGGGGATTAAGCCCAATGACCATGAAGCCAAGAATATTGTCTTTTGAAGAAGTCGGGTTTAGAGGGCAGATGGCTGCCGCTCGGCAGGGATCACCGAAGCCCTGCCACTCAACGTCCTTGACCAACGCTGCCGCCACAGGATCCTGATCGAACCGAATTATGATCGGCTTCCGGGCAGTAAGAGCTTGGCGAAAGTATGGAGTAAAGCCATGGTCTTGTTGGAAGTCCAGATGATCGGGACCTGCGGGCGAGCCTTTCGGAAGACCAAATGAGCCACGAAGCTTGCAGTGTTGTTGATTCGTATCGGAAAAGCGCGTCCTACTCGATTCAGACCCATGCCCGTCTGCTTCAGCCGAATACAATAATGCGAACGGAATATCTTTATCGTTGCGGGATAGGACTTCGGTGGCGAGAACCCAGTAAGTATCCGTATTGCGCGCCCTGGGTATCTCTTCGCTTAGCTCTAGAAGAACGCGCGAGCGTCTTTGTGCAATGACCTGTCTAGTCTACACGATCGTCAGCGGGTTGTACAAATGACCTCGCAGCTTCAAACATGGCTCCCAAGAATTGCAACAGCATATTGATAGGAGAGCCCATGCTTCCATGAACATCATCCTCATCCGTACGTAGCGTCAGATGCGCCACTGGAGGAGCAGGGGGCCAAAATATGCGGTGAAAGTGGTAAAGTTGCAACATACCGTTTCTACCAGGGGCTCATAATGCCCAACCGTAATGCCCTCAGCATCTAATATGGGTATGAACTTTAAGGAGAAATACGTCTCTTCCATGAAACCGCTGCGTACCATGTGTATAGCAGTGTTCGTCTTTTCCACGGTTTCTCCTGCGAGGTTGGTTTGTATGATGGGTTCGAAATACTCGCCCCAGACTGAAGCAAGCGCGACGCGAGCGCTGACTCCCATGCAAGGGTGGAAGCCACCCAAAAGCTCTATCTCTGCTTCGTTGTATATCATGATCAGATCCGGACCATAGAAAACGACTGCTGGCCGCGGATCCTGCATGACAAGATTGGCAATACTGCGTAGCTGCGACGACCAGGAAGACATTGGGCCAAGAGGAGTGGAGGCCCAGTCAATGCTGCGCGCCCAGGCTGCATGTCGTGACAACCGCCGAGGAGGAAGTTCATCTGTCCAGTCAAAGTTTGGTACTTTCGATTTGGAAGTTTTCCGAGTGAGAGTGGTCATCCCAGAGCCCTCACTGCCGGTGCATGTGGTCGCCAAGAGACCGCTTATGACATTCCACCGACCAGCCACATGGATCTTCATCCAGTTGAATCCATGATAAAGAAATGGCTTATTCGTTGTATCGCGTTCCAAAGACCAGCTTCGAAATCTTGTGAATGGGGCATAGCCTTCCTCATTAGCATAGTGCGCACCACCATCTCGGCTTAGTAGTTGCAGTAGCCCTCCAGGGTCAGTGGCGGCCATGGCCGAATTCCAGCACTCCAGATGGCATCCGTTTCCAGATTTCGGGCTACCTGGCGATGTATCGATAATGAAAGTAGGTCGCGGATCTTGATCCAGCAAGTCCAGCATGCCGATGCGACGCAGGGACGACGTGCCATTCTGAGGTGGTTCGAGGGGTCGCTTCTCGCGTGCAGGCAAGGCCGTCATGATAGGCCGACTCTTGGCGTTGCATGTGGCCGTTTATCCTCCTCTTGCGCAGCCACTATTGAAGATGATGTCGTGACAAACGTTGTTCTCGTCGCAGCCATGTGGAATGCTGTCATGGGAATCTAGGTGGGCTTGGAAAAGTGGAATTCGATCTGAGTGCCTAGGCCGGTCCTGTGGATCAGCCGCATGCCGCTGGCCGAAAATAGCGCCGATCCCGTGCGATACCCAGGTACCTGGAGATCGCTCCAGGCTCGTAGATCTCGTCTCTCTATCATCAACTTCATCGCGGGCCATGTTTGTCGTTTCGTGGTTCTAATCGAAAAAAGTAGTCGAACTGATAGTCGCTCTTATGCTTCGCTCGTGGATTGTCTACGCCAAGCACGATGACGTCGGTTCTCATCTGCGCAGCTACCTAGCTCTCCAGGGCTGTCATCCGCATGATCACGCCTCATCTTCGACTTCACACATCTCACAGATCTGGACAATGCCCTTCATACCGCGATGTATATCGAAAGATACCAGATACGATGCGATGGCGACCACAGCGCGCCCGCGTAGCACCCGATGAGGCCACGAGACTGGGATGATGGCAAATAGACTGCTACATCGCCATTTTCGAGCATAAACCATGTGCTTCGCCAACGGGAAACCTGTTTCTGGTTACACTATCGATTCAAGGAGGAGGTTATCGCACCCCAACGGACCAGAGCCGATCTTACCGGTTGTATCGCCTTGATGAGGTTGCTGCATGTCAGCGCGACCATAGCCAACCGCGACATCTACGCCCAGACATCGATGGCCAAATATAGTCGCGCATCTGCAATGGCCGGTTGGATTCTCATCACGTCTGCATAATATGGGGGCATCTTTCGGCCTTGCTCGTAGAGATGCTCAAAAGCTGGGCTTCGCCGTAGTACGTCTCCTAGCTTTTCTCGCGTCTTGAGGCTGTCCTCTCTTTACCTCGGCCTTCTCGTACTCATCGTTCTCTGCTCGCTGCAATTACCACAACACCATCGGCTGAATCTGAACATGGCAAGCGTAATTGACGTTAAGGGAACATTCGTAGACACCTGTATCGCTAGAGTCCCTACAGCCGAAAATGTGGTCTCGGCGACTTCGGCAGGCGCTAATCCTGTCATACGGGAGCTGGATTGGTCACATAGTGAGATTTTTACAACCTCTTACGAAGCCATAACAGGTCTCGAGGATCTGAACGTACCAGACTTGACAACAGTACACACCCCGGACCCATCGTGTGTCAATAGATGGGTCTTCCTTCCAATATCGCACTGCCGCGATGACAACGGTACCGATAACGTCGTCTGGTCTGTGAATCATAATCGCTTGCTCGTCCCCGATCCGTCGTACGCTAGATGTCAACTCTATGGCACCTCTACATACAGTCCCGGGATCTGTCCGAGCGGGCAAACCATCGCTGAAATAACTGCGTACGAGAGCAGTGCGGCGAACGGACTCAGGACACATTGGCAAGCGAGTTGCTGTAGATGGTAAAACGCACCTAAAGCCTTCTCGATCTGGCGCTGATATGTGACGAGTAGCGGCATGAACTTTGGCTATGAACTCGCTCATCTTTGCTTATCAAGTTTCTCAACGCCCCTCAGTGCTTACGCTGCAATCACGACTACCACAACGCTTGCAACTGGCCTAGCCGTTGCCGATCCCGTCATTGTGGCCTGGCAGATAGATGACGTTGGTACGTTCCCGAGCGAGTACGTTGAGTCTTTGGTTGCGAGGTACAGTGTAGCCGCACCAGCCGGTACATCCACACCCACCATCAACGCTTTGGAGCCAACAACCGCACCCGTACCATCTTCGTCTTCCACCAATATCGGCATTGGTGCTCAAGTAGGCATTGGCATAGGCGTGACAGTTGCGGCCGCTCTCGTTGGAGGGTTGTTAATACTCTGGTGTCTACGACGGCGTCGGAAAAGCGCTGGGTACGATGTTGTCATACCGGAAATGAAAGATCAAGACTTTACCGAGAGTCAGTGTAGATGGTACCACGAACTAGATGCCGAAGCGGCTGAGAACGAGCTTGACTCGAAGCCAGTGCATGAGTTACCCCAGCCACCGGCTGAACTGGAGGCACACGGCCCTTTCGCAGAAGACGCCAAAGTAGCACTAGAGGGGCAGAGAAACAGCCTAGAGGCCGTACGTAACGATGACTGTCCTCTCGAGCGAGCGTGAACTTCACAACATGTGAGGAGAAAGGACAGTTGGACGACAGCAACACGATTTCCTGAGGAATACGCGCGGGCTTTCTTTTTCCTTATTGGTGGGTCACATGTCGCAATCTACGTTACTTTGTATCGAGCGACTCATTCCTTAAGATCATGTCTCCCGCACTACTTATTCTCTTAGTCCTCGTCGCAGCTTCAAAACATCCAGAACTAATATACATCTTGAGGGCATTTTGACAGCAATATGCAGCTCCAAGCAAGCAATGAACTAATCTCCGCCTCGGCGTCACCCAATCTCCACCTCGGCCTCGCGTATCACCATGAAACAAGCTTCTATGAGCAGGGAGCGTTTCATAAATCCTTCATCACCAAGCCGCTTGCGCTAGACCCGATGAGGCATCGTGTGGGCCAGACTAAGGCCGATTCGGGCTTGGTGTTGCCGACGCGAACGTTTCATAGCGGAATTCCCACCACCAAACGGCTGTCAAGCCCTCGGCGTCCTGTCAGAACTGTTCATTCCTGCGTGTACCGCTCGCGCGATACTCAATATGGGTGCGCGCGTTTCCAAAATATTGACATGCGATGCGTTCACGCCGTCTAGATGCCGAGCAATGATTTGCAGGTGTATGCGTTGAGTCAAGCAGCCTTCTTATATGTTCTGCTGCATCTCTTCCTACTGGTTTGTTCATTCGCTCACTACTGTCATTCATTCATTGCTTCCGTAGCATTTACATTCGCTTTTCATCAACATACAGGCCGGTCTCTGTTTTTTACCTTCGAACAAATAACTTCAAGATGTTTGCCAAGACTACCCTCATGAGCGCGTTTCTCAGCGCTGCGTCTGCCGGTAAGCCATCTAGATCGTTCAGTAATCCGACAATGACTAACAACGCATTCAGAGATGATCTGGGACGGTCGCTTCAACGACTATGCCTCCTCTGCCGACATCGCCAAGTGGTCCTTCTCCAACCCCGTCGGCGCCTACCAGTACTACATTCACGGCTCCGGCCCCGTGACCGACTACGTCAACCTTGA